GGACTTTTCTGGTGAGAAGTGCCGGGAACGAAGGACTGAACTATAGCTGGGGTTGAATGTGGGCTTATCCGTTATCAACAGTCCCAGGGTGACTCCTGGCTCTGTGCAGGGTGGAACGGGGGTCAGCCCTGTGCAAGGTAAGCAGGCGGCTTCCTCCCTGTGCGTCCTCTCTGGCCACTGCCCCAAGTGTCTTAAGAGGCCAGAAAGAGCTCCAGGGAGAAAAGGTTTTAGAGCTGGCCGTGGTGGCTGTAGAGAGCGTGCTGCTAATGTTCTAAACACCACCTATTTCTATGCTTTATTATTTATTAATTTGTTTCTGGTTTGGGGCCACACTCAGCAGTGCTCAGGGCTCATTCCTGGCTCACACTCAGGAATTACTTCTGGCGGTGCTTGGGGGACCATATGGGATACCAGGGATCAAACCCAGGTTGGCTCCATACAAGGCAAGTGCCCTACCTGCTGTGCAATCGCTCTGGCCCTGAAGTCCGTTTCTTACTGCACAGCTGACTTTCGGTTGGTCCCAACTGTCATTCTTGTTTCAGACGGGAGGTGCTGGGTTAAAACGCAGGCTTACTGCTTGGGACTTCCACCCACACCCCTCCAGCGGGATAATCAGTCTGCACAGAGCCTGAGTCGTGGAAAAGGAGATTCTTTGTTCAAATCATCCCACTGAGCTCTGGGAATCTGAGGAGCCACGGAAACCCGGCCGACAGGCTTTGGGGGTGCCCGACAGACATGCTGTAATGATTCCGGGAATCTGGAGCTCAGACGGGCACGTGGGTCTCCTAGGAGCGATGTGTCTCGTGCGCCCGCGGGGCATGGTGCTGGCATCTGAACCCCCCTCCCCCCCGGGCTCCTCTCAGTGAGAAGTTAGGGGCAAATAGACGTCCAGTGGCTCCTCATAGGGGACCTGCCTGTAAGCAGGAGCGGGTGAAAGCAACAGCTCCAGAATAGGTGTCCCATCCGCATGATGGCCCCTGTTGGCCTGTCCAGTGCTGTCCCTGCAGGAGTAGCCCACATGCCTCCTTGATGTCACTCACAGCGGGGCAGCCAATGACCTCTGTTTCCAATACAGCCAGCATTCCAGTCAAGGGGGACCATCAAGCCCCTTTTCTCGCCCTCCTTTGTGCATTCCCAAGGCTGTAGCAGAAGCATGCCTGGCCTCCATCTTCCCCTTTGCAGTCCGTGGTCGTTCTAGACAGCTCCTGGTTAGAGCGTGCCCTGTGCGAGGGGCTCTCAGGAATGCCCCAGAGGCGGGGTTCATGTGCTTTGCTGCATGTGCCTTGAGTGTGCCAAGAGCCTAGGAAGGGACTGCCAGGTAACGGTTGAGTCAGTTGTTTGAACTGAGAGCTGTGCCCACCCTGGGCTGTCCTGGTGAAGACTTGCTCCCCAAGTGCAGAGACTGCATATCCCCTCCTGGGGAAGGTTTCATCTGGGCTTCAGTGACATCTCCCAGTTAAGACAGTTTCCCGGCACTGCAGCCTGGAGGAATACTCTGGTCCTTGCCTATGTCTTTCTCCTTCCTCTCTTCCACCTGCCCATCATGTTCTCTCACTGATACCTAGTGTTGAGGCCACCATCCGTCCTTCTCCTGTGGAAACCTGTTCATGGCTGGCTTCCTGGGTGGTGGTCCTCCTTTTCCTCACACACCCGAGATCCCAAGTCTCTTCCTGCTTCCCTGCTATTGATTGGGAGAAGCCCCCTGGCCAGCCAGGACCCCGCAGGCAATCAGCAGCAGGCGGTGACTCTAATCAGAGCTCAAGGTTTGAGTTGCAGGAATTTCTAGCGTCCATTTCCCCGGGCCAGAGTGATAATACAGCAGGTAGAGTGTTCGCCTCGTATGCAGCCAACCTGGGTTCGGTCCCGGCATTCCATATGATCCCCCAAGGCCACCTGGAGTGATCCCTGAGTGTAGAGCCAGGGAATAAGCCCTGAACACTGCCTGGGGTGTCCCTGAAAACAAAACAGCAACAAAACCAAAAATAAAGTGTCCGCTTCTTGGACCAATCATCATTCTGGCTGATTTTGTCACCGAGAGGGGGAGTGTCGTATGAGTTGGTGGGCTGTAATGAAATTATAGAAATTCCTTATAATGATACAGATGGGTTCAGAATAAGTGAAGAGGATACGTTACAGAATTAAAAAGAAAGATGTCACTGTCACTGTCCTCCCGTTGTTCATCAATTTGCTCGAGCGGGCCCAGTAACGTCTCCATTTTGAGACTTAATTGCTACTGTGTTCGGCATACTGAATACGTCACGGATAGCTTGCCAGGCTCTGCCGTGCGCCCGAGATACTCTCGGTAGCTTGCCGGGCTCTCTTGAGAGGGGCAGAGAAATCGAACCCGGCTCGGCTGGGTTGGCTGTGCGCAAGGCAAATGCCCTACCGCTGTGCTATCGCTCCAGCCCTTGCACTGAACTGTTAGGATGTGGGGCAAGAACTCACAGTGAGGCCTCAGACCATTTTGAGACTCCCCTAGACTACTATAGCCAGAGGACCCTGGTGTCCCTGCCAGTCCCCAGACAATCCAGGGGCTGAAAGATGGTACATCTCCACAGCTCCCCCTCACATAACCTGCAAAGGAGGGGAGGGAGAGAGGAAGTTTTTTTTTAAATTTTTTATCATTGTGATCACTGTGTTTATAACTTCTCATCTTTCTTTTTATGGCTGGAGCCAAAACAGAAATAAAAATATTAAGCTCAGCTACTGTACTAGAGCACACACTTTGCGTTTGGAAGCCCAGAATCTGACATCCCCCACCCCCCGCGCTGGGGAGCCCCTCCAACCCCCCCACCCCCTGCCAAGCACAGAATTAACCCCTGGGCACTGCCCAGTGTGAGTACAAAAAAATCTAAAACAAAAAATCATGTCAGATTTATAAACTACGAGGGGAAATAAGTATACCAAATGTTTAAAAATGATTTTCCTTTGGGTAACAGGAATATATATGGGTTATTTTTTTCTTTCAGCTTCCCCCCACCCTTTATATTTCTCAAATATTCTTTAGTCATCATCTGTCCATGTCTTAAATGGGAGCAAATCCAGCATGATAAAAGCCTAAACACCCCCTTTTCATTGTTGGACTTTGCGCCCCACATTTTCACCTGGAGATCCGCCGCTGCCCTGAACTCGGCCGACACCTCTTCCTCCTGGGTCCCCGCTGTCCGACACCTCTTCCTCCTGGGTCCCCGCTGTGGGTTTCTGCAGCCAGGCATGAGCCGGGTGGTCAGGAAAGATCTCTGGGCTGTAATTCTGCCTGGAGGCAGGAACTGGACAAAATGCTTCTCAGAGTCCCTGCCCACCTCGGACCTGTGATCTCCCCACTGCACGCAGCCCCCTGCCAACAGCGAACTGGCTGAGCTGGTGACCCACCCGCCCAGCCCTGCCCACAGTGGGGGAGCGAGTGGGGAGCGTGACAACAGTCTGGCAGGGATAGAGCCGGGGGCGGGAATCCGGAGCGCATGCTGGTGCTGAGCGGGAGCCAGTGATCCTTCTGCCCCGTGGGACTTGCACCGCCAGCAGCCGCAGCCAGCCCCGAGACGAACTGAACTCGCAGCCGCCCTCCCTGCCTGCTGCCGGCACCCACCTGGAGAGCCCAGTGGTCACGGCTGCTTCTGCCCAGAACGTCCCCACAGGTGCCGGGCACTGGGGAGTGCAGGAAGGATAACTTCGCCTTTGAGCCGAAGCGGTGTTTGGAGGAGGCAGCCCGTCTCCAGGGTGGAAACCAGCATTGCCCATCACTGCACCTTGGGAAAGTGAGCCGGCACGTCCCGTCCAGCCTGAGCCTCTGTTCCTACCGTATCCTGCCTGGCTCCTTCAGTACCAGCCTTTTCATCCTCGTCCTGTTTTTTCTACTCCTCCTCGGTCAAGGAACCTCGGAGGTGGCCCGGGGCCCGGGGCCCAAACAGAGCTTCAAGGAAGGCGTCCTGCTCCTGGGGTTAGCAGGGTCTGGGCCTGGGCATCGAACATTGCCAGGACAGACCTTGAGTTTGTGTGGAAGCGTTTGCCACTGCCGCCGCCACTTGCCGCCACTTCCAAAGACTCTGGGGGATGCTGGGGTTCTGTGGAGGAAGGTGAGAAGGGCCCCCTAGAGGATCTTCCCAAGTGCCTGCCCGGATATTCCTGGATCCTGGCCCTCCCAAACGGGGCCGCTTTCAGTGGGAAGAGGCCCCAGTGCCCTGAATGCTGCCAGGGGAACCCCGAGGGTCTCTTGGAGACCCCCGGGTATGTCCTTTCTCGCCACTCTCCAGCATGGCCCACGGGGTTAATATCCCCTATGACTCTATTTTGGGGCAAATGGGGTGTTCCCAAAATAGGCTTCTTTGTTGAGGAGTCTATTTCGGGAGGCAAAGCCCCACTGGCGTTTATGTAAGCAATTCTCTGTGTGTATCTGGGGGTGTGGATGTGTGCGCAAGTGATTTCTTGTTTCTAATTATAAACGGCTTCTTTGGTGAGCCAGGGAGATGGAGGTACATGTGCGTGCCGGGGGTGGGGAATAGATTGTTCTGGCCACAAAGTGTGCAGGTGCCGGGAGAGAGGGCTGTGATGGCAGGTAGGGGTACAGACGAGGCCGGCCCCCTCCCCTCCTTTGCAGGTTATGTGAGGGGGAGCTGTGGAGATGTACCATCTTTCAGCCCCTGGATTGTCTGGGGACTGGCAGGGACACCAGGGTCCTCTGGCTATAGTAGTCTAGGGGAGTCTCAAAATGGTCTGAGGCCTCACTGTGAGTTCTTGCCCCACATCCTAACAGTTCAGTACAAGGGTTCAAGGATGCGACGTCACTCAGGTGTGGGGGATTACCCAGGGCACTCAGAGTCCACAGGGCTATCCGCTAGTGCTTGGAGACATCCAGAAATGCACCATGTGGAGCTGGGATTGAGTGAGGGTCAGCCATGTGCTAGGAAAGCACCTAAGCCCCGGCACTGTCCCTCAGGCCCCAACCATTCGTTCTGACAGGGAATAAGTCTCCCCATTCTTAGGATCCTCTCTGACTCCCACAGGCCAAACCCACATATGTCGAAGCAAGAGCAAAACCAAAGGCCATCCAGCATGGTCAGCGAGACGTCCACAGCGGGGACCAGCTCCACACTGGAGGCGAAGCCCGGCCCTAAGGTGAGTTGTGTCCCCGCAGGCTTCTTCCTGTTCTTGCCCCCCTGTAGCCAGCCCACCCTCTTCTCACAACAGCTTAGAAGTCGCCTGGTTAGGCCCCAGAGTGGGGCTAGTGAGACCCAGTCCCGGCAGCCGAAAACCTCCAGAACTCAATCGTTGCCATGCTCACAGCTGCTCTCCACACGTTCGGGCTGAGCCTCACCCACAAGTGAACCTATTCCTGGACCGAGTGGCCACATTTGTGGCTGCATGACACTTTATATCACACACTTTACCCAGACTCCAAGAGTACCACACCACATTTGATAGGGTTCAAAGTAGGAGGCAACCAATCTTAGAGGAAAAAAATTTTTTTACATATGTATATATAAGCACACAAGGCTCAACCTTTAACAACATGTTAGTAATCTCTCATAGAAGGGCTTAATGGCCCCCGGGTGAAATACAACAATCTTCACACTCTTTCTTCTAAGGAAACTTTTTGGTAGCATTTCAGCAGTTTTTCGTAACAAACAATACAAAAAATACATTATTTCGGTTCTGCTTAGGGGCAGGGGTTGGGGTTCAGGATGGAAACATCCGAAATATGGTGGTGGGAAGGTGTAATGGTGGTGGAATTGGTGTTTGAATATTAGATGTAGTTGAATATTATATGTAATCAAATATTATGAACTACTTTATGAAATCGCTCCAGCCCGGCAAGCTACCAAGAGTATCTCGCCCACCCGGTAAAGCCTGGCAAGCTACCGTGATGTATTCGATATGCCAAACACAGTAACAAGACTCACAATGTTACTGGGCCTGCTTGAGCAAATCAATGAATAGCGGGAGGACAGTGACAGTGACTTTATGAAATAAAAAATTAAAAAAAAAAAGAAGGCACCTAGTGAGAGGTGTGAGCAGTGGGCCCTTGGGCTCAGGAGCACTGAATACAGAACAGGGCAAGGAGCTGGCTCTGCTGAGGAGGGTGTCCAGAGAGACGGGATGAAGAGCTGGACATCAGCACTGTCCCAGACCAAGGAAGAGCTTTGCTGAGGCAAGTCAGAGGACAAGTCAGGGCCAGCTGCAGCTCGTGGGCATTGCTCGAACACTCCCTTTCCATGTTCCTCCATGGCCCACAGAAAGTGGGCTGGGCCCCCGACACCCCCGTGAATGAGCGTCCAGGCATCCAGGGGCACATGCTCCAGCCTCCTGGTGTGCTTGGGATCAGAGGGCACAGCCGCTGGGAATGAGGCTGCGAGCAGGTGCCCAGAGGCCTATCAGACAGACTCACCCGGCCGGCTGCAGCTCACGTCTGCTTTCTCCTAGATCAAGCCCAGCAATAAAGTCCACAGCTTTGGGAAGAGGGACCAGGCCATTCGGAGGAACCTCAATATTCCAGTGGTGATGAGGGGCTGGCTACACAAGCAGGTGAGGAGTTGGGCAAGGGCGCACGCTCGGGGAGGTGGGGCCCTTCCTTACCTGGAACCTAGGGAGTGGGGAGGCCGTTAGATTCTAGCCCTGTGCTCAGCCGTGCTGCCAGCCCTCTCTGCCAGCTCTGCTTCCTGATGCTGCCAAGCCTTTGCCCTTCTTTAGCTGAGCTCTCCCTCCTTTTTCTCCCCCTCCCCCCATCCCAGTGCAGCACACTTCGGTTCGCTCCCTGACACTTCCCATTCCAAAGCCTGCCAGACTCAGCTCCCCACCCACCTCTCTCTTTCCCCCTAGCCCACACCTCCTGGATCTTGGCGTTGGTGCCACTGTTCTCCCAGATACTCTTCTACCCACCCACCAGTCTACCCTTCCTCCCATCCATCCATCCGTCTGTCCGTCCATCCGTCCGTCCATCCATCCATCCATCCATCCATCCATCCATCCATCCACCGCACCCCCCCCCCCCCACACACACACACAACAGCCAGCCAGCCACTGAGAGTCAGCCATGCTCTGAGTAATTGTTCACAGCAATTCTAAAGAGATGAAAAACTTGTAATTTCTATCTCTAAGAAACTTAGAGTCTTGGGTGATAGTATAGCAGGTAAGGTGCTAGCCTTACACATGACAGACCCAGGTTCAATCCCTGGCATCCTGTATGGTCCCCTGAGCACTGCCAGCAGTCATTTCTGAGTGCAGAGTGAGGAGTAACCCATGAACATTTCTGGGTGTGACCCAAACCCCTCCTCCCAGCAAAAAAATAGAAAAAGAAACTCCGAGTCTGCCAGGATTCAGTAGGCATATCTCTCACATGTCATATCATACCCAACCCAGTTCCTCCTATGCCAACCACATGTAAAATACAGACCTAAATGCAGTGGTGTGCATTTTACTATAGACTTCATAGAAAGACGGAGGAGAGGGTTGCATGCACAGCACACAGAAGACATTGCTGTCGTTCCCCTTGAACCCTCTGTCCCTTGGTTCTGCTCCTGTGGCAGCTCTCACAGCTCTTCAGCCCCTTCTGTCAGAAAGTCCTCTGGCACGGACTGCACTTTCTAATGACACCCTCATCCGCAACAGCTCTGTTCTTCCTCTTGCTTTCTTTTCTGTTGTATGTGCCTGGAGTCAAACTCCGGACTTCACAGAGGCTAGGCACGTGCTTTACCACCGAGCCACTTCCTAACCCCATTTTCTTACCTTCGTAATTTAATCCACTGTATTTTTCTATGCATCCACATCTCCATTCAATAACGGATATTCCTTTGAAATGAGGAGGGAAGGAGAGGGGGGGGGGGAGAGAGAGAGAGAGAGAGAGAAAGAGAATAAGGGAGGGAGGGAGAGAGACAGAGGGAGGGAGACAGACAGACAGACAGAGAGAAGGGAATATAAATAATAATGCTCCCTAACTCTCCTCCCTCCCTCCCTCCCTCCCTCCCTCCCTCCCTCCCATCAGTCCAGTGCAGAAACTTTAGGGTGTAATGGACACACAGCCTAGAGCACAGCTGTGCTCCGGGTGGAGGGTTGGAATGTGTCCACAATGACTCCCAGGAGAGATGTTGAGACCAGGTGTGGAAACAGGGATGGAGATTTCCAGACAGAGCAAGTATCTTGTGCCAAGACTAGAAATCACCTGGTCAGTTTGTCAAAGAGGAAAACCAAGACATGCATGAACTCACTCAGCATTGAATTAAATGTATTTCACATTTTAGTAGGTCAAGGATAAATGCATGTCATTTTGTGTTTCAGTTTAGAAACTGTAAGAAGTTGATTATTTCTTTTAAAATTCAAGTCTGTCAAAACTTTTGCAAAAGAAAGATAATTCAATAGCTTAAAACAGTTCTGGAGTTTTTCCTAGTTTTGGGAGAAAACTGATCTTACAGTATTGCTCTGGCCATGTTTTTAAAATTGTTTTGCAGTTGTTTTTTTCCTTCTGGGCCACATTCAGTGGTGCTCAGAGGCCATTCCTGGCTCTGCACTCAGGGATTACACCTGGGGATGCCGGGATTTTAACCAGAACTAGCCATATGCAAGACAGGTCCCTTCATGCGTATACTCCCTCTCTTGTCCCCATTCAGAATTTACGATTTTTTAAAGATGTTTTTAATATAATGATTCACATTGTACACAATTTTTTTTTTTATTTTGGGCCATCCAGCCATGCTCAGGGACCATTCTGGCAGGACTCGGGGAACTATATCTGGTGCCGAGCATCAAACTGGAGTCGAGTACATGTAAGGCAAATGTGTTAACCCTGGCCTATCTCTCTGGCCTCAAAGATCGAATTTTATTATGGCACAGTTGATAGCAAGGAAGTCTAAGCCTAGGGGCCAGGGAGAAGGTACAGCAGGTGGTGGGGCACTTGCCTTACATGTGGCCAAACTAGGCTTTATCCCTAGCACCACTCATTGTCTCCTGAACACTGCCAGGAGTAAGCCCTGAGCACTGTTGGACAAATATGACCCCAAAACAAGGAAGAAAGGAAGGAAGGAAGGGAGGGAGGGAGGGAGGGAGGGGAAGGAAAGGAAAGAATGAAGGAGGGAGTGAGGGAGTGAGGGAGGAAGGAAGGAAGGAAGGAAGGAAGGAAGGAAGGAAGGAAGGAGTCTGTACAAAATGGATAGAAAGAAATAAAATTCTCCTCTGGTGATAGAATGCTGAGCTTAATTGAGAACATGGCCTTCTTGATTAATTAACTTAGAATTTTTTGTTCCGTCCCATGTAAGGCAATTTTCTGATTAGTATAAATGAAGATATTTCATAGTATAGTACCTAAATAGATAACATCCTTTTCATTGAAAGCTGTTTTATTTCTTTTGTTAAAAGCCTCTCTGGATTTTTGCATTACATAAATCTAAAATAAAGATGCCTGTACTATGTGAGTGTTTTTCAAGGAAGCAGACTTTCCCCAATTCTTCAGGCTCCACCATCATTAAATCTAAATTTAATGAGGTCAGAGCAAAATTTAAATCTTTAACTTTTGTGGGGCTGGAATACAGTGGGTAGGGCATTTGCCTTGCACACCGCCAACACGGGTTCTGTTCCCGACCTCTCATAGGGTCCTCTGAGCACTGAAGGGGGTGTGACTTGAATGCAGAGCGAGGAGTAACTTCTGAGTATCACCGGTGATAACCACAAAATAAATATATATATATATATTTTTTTCAATATACGACAAGTCTATTTGAATCTCTAGGACAAGATCTAAATGGTCACTGAAACTTTAAACAAGTCAGACCGATAAATTCCCATATTGAATACAACTAGGTTGTTAGTTTTCCTTATATAATGTAAAATCCCCTTTTAGAAATAATTATATAAAAACCAGAGTATATGTACATACTATACTACATATATACTATAAATATATGTAGATCAAAATATAAGTGAAAGTATTATAAAACCATAATAAATACTTGAGGAATTTTGTTCATCTCTCCATCCAATTCCAATATAATATATTTAAGTGAAGGAAGAATCAGTGAGTTTGAGTCTTTTTTTTTAAATAATTTGTTTTCTATTGCTGGTTATGAAAACCCATAATTTTGGATTTCTGATATTTTACTAATTAAGTCCGGAGGGATTTCTGCCAAGAGCCGGATAATTACGGGATTGTTTTGTGTGCCTCTGGTGCCATGGCCGTGCCAGAGAACCGCTCATGGGGGGAAACTTGTGGCCTCAGTAGGGCGTGAAGGACATGCTGGTTCCACCCCCCATCCCATGAGGCTGCAGTTGCCCCATTACCACCAGCTCTCCAGTACAGTCTGAGGCGGCAGCCACCCACTGTGTTGCCGGGGAGGGGGGGGGGCGGAGAAAGGCGGAGGAGACAGACACCCTTTCCCTCCCGGGGGGGCATGGCACATAGTTTAGCACATAGTCCTTTCACATTTCTGCCGCAAGCTGCTGGGCTCTGGATTAGGTCCGTGTGCCTCTGGTACCATGGCCGTGCCAGAAAACCGCTTGTGGGGGGCAACTTGTGGCCTCAGTAGGGCATGAAGGACATGCCGGTTCTACCTCAAATAACTACATATTTTTAAAAAGTCTATATTTTGCAAAGAATAACTGTGCAACTAAAGGGAAATTCATCCGTTGTTACTGTAAGGGTGAGTCTGCGAGATCTTGGGTCCAGAGTCAGGCTGTCTGTCAGTGGGGAAGGGGCTGCAGTGGGTTCGGAGACGACCCTGATCCGTTTTCTTTGTTTTGCAGGACAGTTCTGGTATGAGGCTATGGAAAAGGCGGTGGTTTGTGCTGACTGATTACTGCTTGTTTTATTACAAAGGTGAGCTGACACTCAAGCCACCCAGGGCTCTGTGTGCTGAGGAGGAAGGTGAGGGGCTCCTTAAACCTAGTGACTAGACGCCTAGCCTAAGCTGACCAGTACCTACTAACCAGGTTAAGTTTACTCCCCTATGCGGACTGTCGGTGACCTCAGTGTTCACAGTTCCGGCACTAGAAATTCCATGTGTTGAGTTAAAATAGAATCCAGTTTGCCTGCTGGTTAGGATCTCAGAATCTGGAGCTGCCTCAGCTTCTGTTGCGACACGGGGCCCTCCTTTGACGCAGTCTGGAGACAGGGCAAGGACGGGTAAACCATTGTATTTCGTAAACTGTTATCTGGATTATCCCTTGTGATAATAGATAACTGGTGAGTTGGCCATGTGGACACTTAGGGCACTTCAGCGCATAGACTAGTGATGAGGTCACTGTAAGAGAAAAGGTTCAGGGCTGGGGGGAGTCCAAATGATAGAGCACGTGTGTCTGGCAGGTGAGGCCCTGACTTCCGGGCACCGCCACCTCGGAGCCGGGCGTGACCCTCATTGAAAGAAGGACTGGAGTGATAGCATAGTGGGTAGGGCATTTGCTTTGCATGCAGCCGACCCGGGTTCTATCCCAAGCATTGTCAGGAGTAATTCCTGAGTGCAGAGCCAGGAGTAACCCCTCAGCATCACTGAGTGTGACCCAAAAAGCAACAACAACAACAAAGAAAATTTCTTAAAAAACTCAGGGGGTAAACCAGAAAAAGAAAGAAAGAAGAGAACTTATTCCTATCCTACGTTCTCCCTTGGTATAGTTCCTCCTCCCAAGTTCCTCTCTTAGTAGAGAAGAGGTTTCTCTTCTATGTTTCAATAAACAATCCTTTCTAAACCCTACAAAAGAAGAAAGGCCCAAAATATAGAGAAGGGGAGAGTGTTGAAGACGAGCATCGACTCGCCTGGGCGCCTTGAGAGACAGGCTTAGGCAGTTGAGGCGAGCAAGACGTTAACTCTGCAGAGAAGAATCAGGGGAGGCTTCTGAGGAGAGACGGGTTTGAGTCAGGCTTTTTTTGGGATGAGTTAGTCTGAGAAGATGCACGTTACAAGTAAAGTTCTAGAAGCAGGAGGAAGTGGCCTGGCAGGCCAGCGTGGGCAGAGTGAGTCTGCGTGGGGACCTACTGCCGGGCCGCAGGGACGGTCCAGGAAAATGAGGACAAGGCTGTGGCAGGGCTGGGACACCAGGCAGGGGCTGTGTAGCTGCATCCTCTGGTGGGTGTGTGCCCCATGCTGGGCCAGAGAGCAGTGGAACCATGTCCACATTAGAAGGTGACCTCTGGCCAACGTAGCAGTGTGGGCAAGGAAGAGGAGAAAAGGCCTTTTCTCACAGGCTTTGACTTTGCCATTTTCTCCGCCTAGAAAGCCCCTCACCATCCTGTGAAACCCTCAAAACATCACCTTCTAGAACCCTCCTAGGGTTCCCAGACTCTGCCACCCCAAGCTGGCCTCTAACCCCACCTCAGGCATCAGCAGGGGGCACTGAGTTTATTTGCATGCCAGCCTCGGGCCCAAGCTGTGTCATAGTCACGGTCATACCAAGTTCCCGGGAGTCCCTGACGGTTTCCTGGTGTTTGCAGGCATCCCAGATTGCTGGGAGGGACGTGGCGGTGGGTGGGGAAGGCTGAGGACGGCTTTCTGATGCGCTTTTCCATTCAAAGATAGCCGAGAAGAAGCCGTCCTTGGAAGCATCCCTCTGCCCAGCTACGTGGTCTCTCCGGTGACCCCCGAAGATCGCATCAGCCGCAAGTATTCCTTTAAGGTACCACCCGCCTCTGCTTCCTCTTCGTGCAGCAAACCCATCCACAGAGACTGTGGGGTCCTCAGTGTGGCTTCATGGAAGGGGTTGCTGCTGGGGGCTGGAGCAGTAGTACAGCGAGGAAGGTGCTTGCCTTCCGCACAGTTCACCTGGGCTCAATTCCTGCCACTGCATATGGTCTGCCAAGCCTGCCAGGAGCGAGCCCTGAGCACAGAGCCAGGGATAAGACCTGAGCACTGCTGGGTGTGTGTCCCCCAAATCAAAAACAAACAAGTAAAACCAAAGGCACTAATTTTCTGGGGCGGGGGAAGAAATTAAGCGAAAGCCAGCCAGACTCAAGAGGCATATGGGCTGGGGCGATAGTTAAAAGACCTAAAACACGTGTTTACATGGGGAAGCCACAGGTCGGTTCCCCATCACTGTATGAGGCCGGGAGTTGCCCACAGGTGCAGACCAGCCTCTGAGTAGCAGCCAGTATGCCCCCCTCCCCCACTATGAAAAAGGAGGAAAGTCCTGTCCCTTCATTGCCAAACATGCCAAACACATGCTTTCACTTAGGGTTTTTCCCTTTGTTTGTTCTTTCTTTTTCTTATTTTTTTCTTTGTTGTTCATGATTGGGTTTCAGTCATACAATGTTCTGACACCCATCCCCTCACCAGTGTATATTTCCCACCACCAATGTCCCTAGTATCCCTCCTTCACCACCACCACCACCCCCCTGTCTGCCTCTACGGCAGACACTTTTCTTTTCTCTCTCTCTCACTCTCTCTCTTCTTTATTATTTTTATTTTAATGAATCGTTGTGAGATACATTTACAGACTTACAGACTTTCATGATTGTGTTTCAGTCAAACAATGTTCAAGTACCCACCCCTCCACCAATGCCCATTCTCAGTGTTCCCAGCATCCCTCTCCCCACGCACTCTCCCCTCCTCTCTCTCTCTCTCTCTCTTTCTCTCTCTCTCTCACACACACACACACACACACACACGCACACACACGCACACACTTTCACTTGTATCGGAGCTTTTCACCCTCCATCCCCACTCAGTTCGTGAGCATGGTGAGCTTCCTCGTTCCATTTGTCACCTGGCCCTTCTGCTGCTCTCTGTGACCAGCCAGTGCCACTAAAATCCTGCTGCTCCTCAGGCGAGTGGTAAGCCCTCATGATCTAACAGATTTCTAGCGATTATGCTGGAGAAACTTACAGAATGAGCATATCGAAGGGATTTATTTTCAGGTCTGTCTCCTGTATCTTACTGGAATGTAAGTGGAGCCCAGTTTGGCTTGACTTTCTAGAACATTGATGATTCTTAGGGAACTCCCTTTGTTGGTAAAGTCTCTGTTCCCGTTGTTAGGAACCCTCAAGTGAGCAGGCCCACGGGGTGGCAGATGCCGGTCCTGTCATGCCCTCCAGCACTGGCCAGGAAGGTGTGGTGGCTCCTGGGAGGGAGGAGGTGGTCGGGCCCAAACTTGGGGAGTCCTGAGGTGCTCTCCTTCTTTGGTGCCCCCACAGATCCCTTCATTGCTATTTCTTATTTCCTGCATGCAAGAGACCCAGGTTTTGATCCCCAGCACCACCTGAGTACCCCAAGTAGTGCCAGGTGTGTGCCCCAACCCAAAGAAAAGAGAGAGCGATAGTGAGAAACGTGTCCAAAGTCACAAAATGGGAAGATAGTGGACACAAAACTCAACCCTGAATGCTCTCCTCTTTGAGTTGTATTATTTGGGCAGGGGGTGGGGGTGGGGGTGGGGAGGGGGAATACCCAATTCCTTTCTCTTCCTTTGGTTTTCTTTCACACCTCCTGCATACACATCTCAGGAGGTGGAAGTGCTTGAAAAGAGTGTTGTTATCATTTGGGGGAGACTCTCCCACTCAGGAGCCCCTCCCGTTTATTGCTGGCTGTGAGGTGCTCTCAGAGCTTTTGCTCAGAAACTTTTCCTTCTCAGATGGAGTGTTCTGCTGGGCAAACAAGTTGGGATAATGATCATGCGTGAGATTTGGCTAGAGGAGAGGGGTGGGGGTAGCATTTGGAATATTCCCAGGCTAACTTCTTTTACTATATATAGTTCAACTTAACACTTCTTTAGGAAGTGTGGAAATAGGTTCTAGGAAAACATCTTTTATTTGTGTTACATTTTCTTTTAAAGAAAAAAAATTTGCAAGATTTGCACCAAGAGAGAAGTGTTTTGTCTGGGAGGGAGAAGAGAAAGATGTGTGTGGGTAGGGGTGAGGAATCTTTGGGATGAGAGCAGAGAAAAACGACCGTCGCAATAATTCAGGGGGGGTTCAGCTGACTCTGAGGAGAGAGCCTCCCTTCTCTCGGGGTTGCAGCAGCTTCCTGAGAGCCAGAGGAAGACTTGGTACCATTCAGGGACCTGATCTTGGATACCCTCGGGATGGTGCAGTCTGTGGTGTCCCCATGCTCTCTGGTGCAGAGCTCAGATTCTCTGCAAAGCTAAGAGGCCCGGACACTTGCCCGGGGCAGCATGGCCACTGTATAGATGGCACGCCTGCAGGTCACGTTACTGGCACCTAGGCCTGGATGCTGGCAGCCCGGGGTCTTGGCCAGGAGTGTCCTGGGGGCTTGGACAAGAGGTTGGACACCAGAGGGACACTGCGCATCCAGGAGGCCTGCAGAGCAAACCCTACTGGGCTCCAGTGACCTCTCGGAGACACGGTGCCCTGCCCAATCTTGCAGACCTTCCCACACTGCTGATTTCTCTTGGGTATTTCTCACGCCCTCCGTATGAGGGGCAGCCGATGGAGGCACAGCAGCCCGGGGCCTCCTGGTCCTCCACTGAGCAAGTTTGGTCTCTCGGATCCAAGGTCTGTAGCAGGAAACATGCCCACATGGCATGGGGTCGAGGGAGCTTGAATGGGGTAAACGTGTTCATTGCCTCCCTTTGAGCCGGTCTTTCCCTGACCTGAGTCTGTAGCCTTCTCGGGTTGGCGTGTGTTTGATAAGATTTTGTAATTCACTTACCAAGAAATAAAAGCTTTATTTCATGGATCCGTAGTTAACGGCAGAGATTCCTAAACTTACCTATTTGGTCGGTGACCCTTTTCAGAAAAAGAAACTATCATTCAGCCCTTTAATAGAAATCTACCTTCCTTAAGTGGAACAGAAAGTTCCCCTCTCAAATTGCACCTGAGGTTACTAACCCCTCCCTCACGCCCATCTTTCTAATAACTCCCAGGGTTTGAGGTGGTATTACTCACTTTGGGAATTACTGAAATTTTAGTGGGAGGATGGGGGGGGTTCACACCACTCTATATGTATAATTGTCACCACTTCCACTGCCAGGGCTCCAGAGAGCCATCACCCCAAAATACCCCTCATATTTCAGCATTCCCTTTCTCTGTGGAAGCTACCATCACTTTCTCCAAGTCTGTGAATTAGTTGATAGTTCTTGCCCTTTCATTTCGATTAGCATTTTATAGTCCATATCTGAGTGAAACTATGTGATGACTGGCTTTCATTTCCTTATTTCACTCAGCATCATCACCTGCAGATCCAGCTGTCTTGTCTTTTTTTTTTTAATGGCAGAGTAGTGTTCCTTTGCAGATAATACCAGAGATTCTTTATCTGGTCATCTGTCGAAGGACCTTTGGGTCGACTCCGTGTTTTGGCTCTTATGAACCGTGCTGCTGAGTGTAGAACGGAGTATCCTTTGGTTCATGTTTTCACAGACTTCTGGTGAATGCCTAGAAGACTGACATGCTGGATTGTATGCTTTTTTCTTTGTTGCCATGTAGGTTTTTTTTTTTTTTGGTGGGGGGGCTGGAGCGATAGCACAGTTGTAGGGCATTTGCCTTGCACGCAACCAACATGGCTGACTCGAGTTCGATTCCTCCGCCCCACTTGGAGAGCCCGGCAAGCTACCGAGAGTATCTCGCCCGCACGGCAGAGCCTGGCAAGCTACCCATGACATATTCGATATGCCAAACACAGTAACAACAAGTCTCATGATGGAGACGTTACTGGGCCCGCTTGAGCAAATCGATGAACAACGGGAGGATAGTGGACCGTGACCGTGGTGGGGGGACATTGGAGTCATACCCAGTAGTGTCTGGAGACTACAGCTGGCTTGGTGTTCTGGGCTCACTCCCAGCCCTTTGAGCTATCTCCCTGACTCTCGCTTTTTCATTCATTTGAGTTTTGGGTCCCTCTTGACTGTGCTCAGGGGCTACTTCCAGCTCAGTGCTTGGGGTCATTCCCAGTGGTACTCAGGGGACCATGCATAGCTGGAGTTCACTCACCTATTGAGCTACCTCTCCGGCCCTACTTTTTACTTTTTAAAGGGTCTTCCTACTGTTTTTCCATAGCAGCTGCTCCAGTTTACAGACCCACCTGTAGTCTACTTTTAAAGTCTACTGGGCAATAATAGGTTCTAGTAGTATGTATACCCAGGAAAAAATTCTCAAGAATTTTTGATTCATAGTAAGAGAGTCCCTTCTCATAACTATTCTTTTTTGTTTGGCTTTGGGCCAGATCCAGGGTTTTGGAGAGTTGCCCCCAGCTCTGTGTGCAGGGTTGCTCCCAGCAGTGCTCGAGAGACCCGGCAGTGTGAGGGATCTAACCGGGGCCCAGCATGCAGGACCTGCATTCAGCCTGTTGAACTATCTCTTCTGTCCACATTCTTTTTGTTGTTGTTGAGGGCATGCATATCCGGCAGTGCTCAAGGGTAACTCCTGGCTCTGCTCGGGATACATATGGAATGCAGGTTTTCGAACCCAGGTTGGCCACATGCAAGGCAAGCTCCCCCCCACCCCGACCCCACCCCACCTTCTGTACTCTTGCACACCCCCACCCCATGCTATTTTATTGCTATCACTCTCACCTTACTAAAACATGTGGACACATCAGGAAGGATACCAGGTTTGCTTTGGCCACTGTCATCCTTAGCTGTGGGCCAAGTTTGCCTGTACCTTGGGTTTGCCTGTACCTTGGCTGGATGCCATCAGACTGTCAGAAACAAGCCTTGTTTCATATGCATTGGGACCTGGATGCTCGGAACCTGGAGAGAAGGACATGCTGACAGTTCCTGGGACAGGCTTCTTCCACGAGCAGCAGGGATTCTAGGGCATTGCATTTTCCAATTTCTAACTAGTTCTCTCCTCTTTTCCGACTGCTCCTTGCCTGAGGCCTGCTTTATGTTCTAGATCCAGGTCGTCCGACTCATAATCTGTGTAATCCTTGTTATTTTGGAATTAGGATCATTATACAGAGAAGTTTGGACTTAGAGTCAGATTGGAGGGGAACCCTGGATCCAGCTTCTCGTTTACTAAGAAAATGAACTTATTAGGCGCATACTTTGCCCTGGGCTCTAGTCCTGGGGACATGGTGATGCACAAACTAGACCCGTCTTGGAGGAGGAGGCAGCAGATAAACAAACCCGGATATCAGATAGTGCCGATGAGGCCCCTGGCTTCTCTGAGGTCCATGTGCCTCGTGTTCAAGACAAATTCTGTTGGGAGACAGAGGAGATGGAATTCCTTGAAGTCCCTGGGAACTGTCCAGGAGGCGCTCTGAGAATCTTCCTCTTCCTGCTTCATCTTCCTGTGTGGGCTGGCAGAGGCTTTTCTTTGCAGACTTAAAAGAAAGTGCTAGGAGGGCCCGCTCGGGATGGGAGATGTGGGCTGAAAGTAGACTATAGACTGAACATGATGGCCACTTAATACCTCTACTGCAAACCACAACATCCAAAAGGAGAGAGAGAGCAAAAGGGAATGCCCTGCCACAGAGGCGGGGCAGGGCGGGGGTGGTGTGAGGGATGCTGGGACCATTGGTGGTGGAAAATGGGCACTGGTGGAGGGATGAGTACTCGACCATTGTATGGCTGAAACACAAGCACGAAAGTTTGTAAGTCTGTAACTGTACCCCACAGTGATTCACTAATAAAAAATAAAAAATAATTAAAAAAAGCTTGTTCACAGTGCCGGGGGGCGGGGGGGGGGCGGGATATGGTGCTGTTTTACACCCTACCCCCAAGGCTTTGCAGGGCCATTCCTGAGTACTGCCTCACTGGCTTCTTGGGAGATGTGTGGAAGCCTGGACGGCTTCCTGGCATGGAGCCGGTGGGCAGTGTTTCTGTAGGTGTTCGACTCGGAGGTCCCTCTCTGGAGAGACTGACAAGCAGCGTCTCTGAAAACTGCACATTGCTCCTCACGCCCAGGCAGGGAGGAGCCTAGAGTTGGAGCTTCATTCCCCGCCCCTGCCACCTGCTCTCGCCCCCGCTGGGTCTCTGGTCCAACACAACGGAGCCCAAGTGGACAGGACGTAGCTGAGAAGCACCCAGATGGGCGCTGGCTGTGGGTATGAGGCCGGACACAGGTACAGCTCTGGGGTTCTTTTTTTATCAATAGTTTTCTGTACTTTTATGTTACATATTTAACACGTTGAATATTTGCAATGTTATGTATTACATATTTAATTTTTGCATTATTAATCAGTTACCCCTAAATAATTTTTTTTTACTTTTTCTTTTTTTTTTTCTTTTTTGGGTCACACCCGGCAATGCACAGGGGTTACTCCTGGCTTTGCATTTAGGAATTACTCCTGGCGGTGCTCGGGGAATCATATGGGATGCTGGGAATTGAACTCAGGTCAGCCACATGCAAGGCAAACACCCTACTCGACCCGCTGTACTATCGCTCCAGCCCCTCTGAATAATTATTTTTTATTAGTGAAACACCATGAGGTACAGTTGTAGACTTACACATTTTTGTGCTTGGGTTTCAGTTATACAATGATCGAGTACCCATCCCTCCACCAGTGCCCATTCTCCACCACCACTAATCCCAGTATCCCTCCTACCCCCATCCTCCCCATCCCACCCTGCCTCTGTGGCAGGGCATTCCCTTCTGTTCTCTCTCTCCTTTTGGGTACTGTGGTTTGCAAAAGAGGCATTGAGTGGCAATCATGTTCGGTCTATAGTCTACTTTCAGCATTCATCTCCCATCCTCGGCGGATCTTCCCAACACCTTTTATTTGGTGCTCCCTTCTCTATCTGAGCTGCCTTTTCCCCTAGCATGTGTGGCTGCCTCCAAGCCATGGAGTAAACCTCCTGGTACTTATCTCAGCTATTCTTGGGTGTTAGTCTCCCATTTTGTTACTTTGTTCCCCAGATGAATGCAATCTTTCTATGTCTGTCCCTCTCTTTCTGACTCATTTCGCTTAGCATGATACTTTCCATGTAGTACCACTTGTATGTAAATTTCATGACTTCATCTTTTCTAACAGCTACATAGTACTCCATTGTGTAGATGTACCAAAGTTTCTTTAACCAGTCATGTGTTCTCGTGCACTCAGGTTTTTTCCAGATTCTAGCTATTGTAAACAGTGCTGCAATGAACAAACAAGTGCAGATGTTACTTCGACCATACTTTTTTGCCTCTCTGGGATATATTCCCAGGATAAATGATTTTATTGGATCACCGTGAGATACAGTTACAAACTTGCCTGATTACGTTTCAGTCATACAATGCTCGAGCACCCATCCCTCCGCCAGTGCACGTTTTCTACCACCATTGTTCCCAGTGTCCCACCCACCACCCCCACCCCATCCCACTCCTTGCCTCTGTGGCAGGTACTTTCCTTCTTACTCTCTCTCTAATTTTGGGCATTAGGGTTTGCAATACAGATACTAAGAGGCCATCATGTTTGGTCCTTGGTCTACTTTCAGCACACATCTCCCATCCTGGACAGTCCCTCCAGTTATTATTTACTTTAGTGGTTCCTTCTCCATCCCAACTGCCTCTTCCCCCAGCATGCGCTTTCGAAGCCTCCAAGGTTGGCTTCCGAAGCTCTGGGGTTCTTACACGGGAGACAGACCACAGCTGTCATTGGGCCTGATGGTGCACGGACAGGGGACTCCCACCGTGACACTGGATGCCAGGCGCAGACACAGGCTCAGGCCTGCAGACTGGGGGCAGGAGACCGTGGCCTGTGGCTTGGCCCATGGCATTCTGGGAGTGGGACAGCGTGCCTTCCTGCTCTGAGCTTGCAATCTCTCTGCTGTTTCAGGCCGTGCACACGGGGATGCGAGCCCTCCTCTCCAGCAGTGGCGTGGGGGGCTCCCCAGCTGAGCAGTCAGGCATGAGGACCTACTACTTCAGCGCCGACACTCTGGAGGACATGAACGCCTGGGTCCGGGCCATGAACCAGGCTGCACAGGTGCTGTCTCGAGCGTCACTCAAGAGGTCAGTTCCCTGGGCTGGGCACAGCCAGAGGGCTGTACATTCTAGAATGGGGTCCCGCAATAAAACCTCGGGGTGTCCTGTGGAAATTCAAAGTGTGGGGGTGCGAAGCATGTATTTGATGGCCAAGAGCTGACTCCCCGGCCTTCCCAGCAGAGGGACAAAGAGGCTGGGGACTCATGGATAGATAGTAAAAACGGCCTGTTTGGGACGGGGAGGGGTGGGGGGTGAGGTTTTATTGGGGTTCTTCATGGTAAAAAATAAGTATTGGTAAAGGGAAATGTGTTTGATATTTGCATGACTGAGACATAAACCTGAAAGCTTTGTAACCTTTCCCACAGTGATTCAATAAATAAATAAGTAAAAAAAAAAAAAAAAAAAAAAAACCCCAAAAAAACGGCCTGTTTAATGCAGAGCTGCTAGCATACTTATACAACAAAAGAAGGGGTTCAATATGGGACTGCATGTAGGTGTGATTGATCATTTAGAGAGTGTTTTGGCAAAGGCAATTCTCTGTGGGGGATTAACTCATGGAGACACTCTGCCTCCCAGGGATATCTACATTGCTTTTTTCTTTCCCTTAAGTTGTACATATGAAACAATTAAATTTTTTAATTAATATTTTGCAGTTATTTGAATAAACACGGTAAGAGAGATCGATTCCAAAACTTAATTCTCAGACTGGAGTGATAGTACAGCAGGTTGGTAGGGAGTTTGCCTTGCATGTGGCCAACCTGGGTTTGATCCCCAGCATCCCATATGGTCCCCTGAGCAGTGCCAGGAGTAATTCCTGAGTGCAGAGCCAGGAGTAACCCCTGAGCATCACTGCATGTGACCCCCCACTCCTTCCCCCCCAACAAGAAAAAAAAAAAGCCAGAAATTAGTTCTCTGGTCTCCAAGGGCAAGCAAGGCTATTACTGTAAATCCCAGACTGTCCTCAGACTAGTCCAGCTTGTCCTTCCCCATGAAGGGCCTGTCTTTCAAGTCATAACAGCTTGCATCAAAACCATGCTTTTATGCTTTCTAGACTGTCCTATTTCAATGCCAGGGTAGCTTTGCCTCCGTCACGGGTCCATCCAAGTCCCACAGTGAGAACCTCCCTTTTTGGGGTGTTAGGAACTACTGCAACCAAAGTCAGGTAATTATGATGGATGCCCAGGAGTAGATATATTTCAGAGTCAATCAACTCTTAAATATTAGGAGTATAGCATTAATAGTCTTTCTGTGCGTAAGCAAAGAACATTGCCCTATAGTAAAGTATGAGAAGGTTTTAAGGGAAGTAGAAAAGCAAGTAATTCACTACAAATATGAAGCAAGTAATTCACTACAAATGCAAAGTCCATTTGTATAGGTTTGACTTAGAAGCAACGAAGCCTAACTTGCGGAATCTAGTAACTAACACAAAGAAAAGGTTAAAGATAAACCCGGGAGATTAGAAGTGCTCATAAGAGCACTGTAAACTTCTGAGCAGGGGAGGGGAAATTCACTGATAAAACCTAAAACACTTAGGGTTAATATCCAACAGTCCAGAATCTGCAGCCTCAAACACTTGCATTAAGCATTGCCTTAAGCATTGCCCTGCTTTAATTGTTCACAACAGCTCCTTTCGGTGCAGTGGGGAAGAATACTTGTGTGGCTAACTCATTTCTTAGAGCTGGGGTACTCTTCCCCCCCTAGAAATGAGTAGTCCATTCCCTTCATCCAACAGAAACACGGGGGACCTGCCCCAGGATGTGCAGCCTTGGACCTGGGTGTGTGTTTCTCAGTTTCTTGGATCATGGTGGGAAGGGGCCCCAGATTTGGGGAGGAGGGAAGGATGAGTCAGAAGATCGTGATAACTGGAACTATGCCACAGTCTGTACACCATGTTGCTGGGTCTCACAGGGCTGTCTACCAGCTACCCTTTCCCTTTTTTTTTTTTTTTTAATAATTTATTTATTTATTGAATCACTGTGGGAAAAGTTACAGAGCTTTCGGGTTTAGGTCTCAGTCATGTAGATACTGAACACATTTCCCTTTACCAATACTCATTTTTAACCCCGAACCCCAAGAGACCCCCACCTCCCACCCCTCCCAATTCTTGTGAGGCAGATGAGTTCTAGTTAATACTCTATCTACTTTGACTAGATAGATTATTTCGATAGAAGATGCACAATTATTCTTTAGAGTTTACGACCCCCCCCCAATCAGACATGCTGAAACAGCGTTGTGAAATGATTTGCTTTCTACAACTTGGTTTAAGAATAAAATGATGTCGCGCGGCCGCTATTGCGGCCGCGCGGTTTTGAATTTCTGCTATTTTACTTATTGACCCTGGAAGAATTTCTATTAAAAGTTAGCTAGTTAAGAGATTGGTTTCTGTGCCCTGGAGTCGTGGCCGTGCCGGAGAGCCGCTCGTGGGGGGCAGCTGGCGACCTCGGTGGGGCGTGGGGGACGGCCCACAAAGCCCCCCTTCCCATGAGGTCCCCGCCGCTCCCCCGAGCCCGGCTCAAACCTGCTTTCCACAAGGCTCCCGTGCGGCCGCCATCTTTCTTTCCAGAGAGGAGCGGGCGTACCCTTTCCCTTGAGTGGACCAACCAAGGGTCTCATCATGGTTCCAGAAGCCTCCACATGTCGGCTCAGGTAGAGGAGGAGTATGGGGTTAGAGCTTGGAGAGAAGAGGTGTTCTGGGTACCCAGGTGCACCTGGAACCACCCCCCTTGGACATGACCTCACTTGACACCCAGCAATTCCGCATGGGCTCTGAGAGACAGTGTGTCTCTGCCCAGAGGCACTCGGAATATCACAGAATGTTCTAATGAGGCCTCGAAGCAAATGGGTATTCTTTTTGTTTTGCTTTATCTCTTTACTTTTAGTGTTGGGGTCATATCCAGCTGTGCTCAGGGCTTACTCTTGGCTCTGTGCTCAGGGTATCAGGGGGCCATATGGGGTACCAGGGATTGACCCCAGGTCAGCCATCTTAACCCTTGTGTTATCTCTCTAGCCCAGAAAGAGTATTCTTTTTTTTTCTTTTCTTTTCTTTTTTTTTTGTGCTTAGAAAGAGTATTCTTCAACAAACCAGAGGGTGGATTTTTGCCTTTATAACTGCAGATGGATTTTTTTTTCAAATTTTTTAACGATAGTTTAGATAACATAGTTATAATAGTGTAAATGTTTATGGCTTTGGTGCACAAGGTTACTGCACCCCACCCAGCACCAGTGAATGTGTTTCATGTGGTGTGTTTTAACTTGTTAACCATTACTAACTGGAGCCTGATTTTTTTTCCAGCTTTTTAAATTGAATTACTGTGAGATCCACAGTTATAAAGTTGTTTATGATTAAGTTTCAGTCCTACAGTGTCCAACACCCGTCCTTTCACCAGTGTACATTTCCCATCGTCACTGTCCCCTATCTCCCTCCCAGGATGCCCCACCCAGCCTGCCTCCGTAGTACACAGTTCCCCCGCCCTCTTTTTCTCTTTCTCTCTCTCCCTCGCTCTCTTCTCTCTCCCTCTCTCTCTTTCCTCTCTCTATCTTTCTCTCTCTCTCTCTCTCTCTCTCTCTCTCTCTCTCTCTCTCTCTTTCTCCCCTTTTTTCCTTTCAGGCACTGAGATTTTCAAGACTATTACTGTTATGGTATCATACATATTCACTTTATCTCCTCTCAGTATCCAGTCCTTGTCAGGTGAGCCTTGAATCACGCCCCCCCCCCCCCCGACTTGACCCCAACTGTCATAGTGGTCCCTTCTCTATCCTAATTGCCCTCCCCCCACCACTCGTGGCAATTTTCTAACCCTGGGCCAGTCCTGCTGCCCCTTATCTCTATTGTACCTCTCCCTCTGACTCATTTCACTCAGCATGACACTCTCCACGTCTATCCATGTATAAACAAATCTCTTGACTTCATTTTTCCTAACAGCTGCATAGTATTCCACTGTGTAGATGTGCCCTAGTTTCTTTACCCACTCGTCTCCTGGTTTCGTTCCTTTGTCCATGTCCCTGAGTTGCTCACCATTTCTCCGTGCTTCCTCTCCTGCCTGCTCTGTATTCTGCCTGTTCAGCTTCCGGCAAAGGTTGATGACCGGCTCCCCAGTCTTGTGGAATGAACTAACCTGTTCTTCCCTCTTGAAAGTCAGCGTGCATTTTGCCTTCTCTAACATTCTGGCCTTTCCCTGCCTCTTGGATCCCTCTGAGGTCACCCCAGAGACTTCTTTAATGCCTCTTTGTGACCAGGACTTTCCCCTTCTTCCTTCCCAATGGGAATTTACTGTCCCTCTTTACAAAGGTGGTCTTTGTTTTCCTTCTTGCTCGAAGAAGTGGCACTAAATCCTGAAACAGAAGGATTCAGCTTTATTTATGCCATGCCACAAATAATTTTTTTTAAACTTTTACTTTGTTCGTTTTAACTCCTGGGGTGGGAGGGGAAATCACATTTTGTCCCACTTGGCTTTAATAAATAGCCTTGACTCCTTCTAGACTTTTCCCTCTTTCCCTGTGTCATGCTGGGGAGGGTGAGACCTGCATTTTCACGACATTTCCTCATACCAGGCCCTTCCTGCCATCATTCATGCATGCCCTCCCTGACTTCCGCCCCCTGCTGTGGATGGAAACTTGATTTCATGCGTCTCTGTCTATTTCTTGCCTGTGTTCTTTCACAGTGTGAGTTCAGAACTTGCCTCGTGTGTTGGTCCTAGCTTCGCTGGGCTCATTGTAGCAAACTAAAGCCCTGGGTTGAAGATAATGAGGCCAGGCTTAGCGGGGAAAGGTGTTGTGATTGATAACTCATAGCTACCTTCAGATGAATAGGCTCTCTGGGATTTGGATATTTCTTTTTCCTGCCTTAAGGTTTTATAATGAAGGATGATTTTGATCTTCGAAGGGCTCATTTCCTGCCTTTCATGGGGTTACTTTCCCTTTTAGGGTTTCAGGCTATTGTACTTTTCTCTAGGCTTCTTGAAATATGTTCTGATTATGCTCTAAATAAGCTCTTAAAGCCCCATAACCATCTTTATCCAAGGTTTCTT